CTCAGTCACACACCCAGGGCCGTTTCAAGACATTTTGGGGGCCAAGGCAAAATGACCCCCCCCCCCCCCCCATAGCTGGGCTCCCCAGAAGCCTCTGTGTAATTCATACCCTCTCCAGTAGTATTAGTTATACAGTGTTTATAAAAGGCTCCTCAGACATTACTGACATGTTCTAATATTATCAGATGAAAAACTAAATTATCAGACATGCTGTCTCATCTGCTGCTTTTCTAAACTTGCAAAAAGTAACAAAACCATTTGAAAGCCACTATTAGTGGATTCTCTGAAAGTTTCCATGGAGTGTGGGACAACTTATTTTTTCATTGATCCTATCGTCTAATCTCACAGCTGAAACAAGCATCCTTAATAATCTGTGCACAGGAAGCGTAACGATGCTGTAGTAAAACAAAAGGTATAATAATTTATTATTAATAAAACCTTGTTGCAGCACTAAAGCAGAAAAATGAGATTTTGCATTAAATATGCAAAATATTTACATATGAATTGTTTTAGAGCCCTTTAATTGGCAGAATCTGATATTAATTTAGTTCTTACAAAAAATGGGTCCCAACATGGTTTGTGTGGCGTTGCCATAGTGTGACGTCATAGGCACAGATCCCCTGTCCTCTTGTTTGGAAATGGAAATATGATCACCCTACATTAAACAAACTGTCCACCCGGGCTTTTGCACTGCACAGAGACGCTTCGCTGCCTACGACTGAACGTCAGTTGAGAGTCAGTCTCATGCAGAATGACCAATGAAGAGAGGGCCTCAAGTTAAGACCCTCTCCTCATTGGTCAGTCCACACGAGGTGGGTCAAAGGTTACTCTGGGCGGGTTACGTGTTGTCAGGCATTCAAGTATTGAGTATATTTACTGCATATTACAGTAAAATATTCTGTATGTGACCACATTATGGTGATCCTTGGGTCGTGATGATGGAGCCCTTGAATATTGTTGCCCAGGGTACAACAAAGTGTTAATCTGGCCCTGGTTCCGCCGTCACATTCCCGCAGAAACTGGTTGATCACACCGGGGCCAGACTACTAGCATGTGGTTTTACAACCACAATGTCCTCGGAAGCAAAAACGCTTTTAAAAGGGAGGGAGGAGTCCTAACTGTTGCTGCAGGCGTGTTGTGTGAGAGTGCAGTTATATACTGGTTAATATATTTTTGGGTTCAGTTGCTTTCATGTGGCCTAATGTGAGTCTATATGGGATCATTGGAATGATCAGCAGCATTTCTTGATGTGACTTTATGGCAGTTGCCCAGGGCATCATCGCAAGGAGGATGGCATTCATTTACTTTTGTTTTATTTGGTATTTTTCAGTCATTTTTGGAAATAGTGATCAATTTTGATTAATTCACAGCCTATGTTTAATTACATTTAAAATAAATGTCAACAGATGAGATCAAACAAAACAGATGAGAATTGCCCTTAAGCTGTTTAACTTGGACCAAGCATTTTAGGTCACAGATAGATGTAGCTTAGGGTCTCTGTCTATACACCTTATAAGACAATTTAGGTGATGACATGTTGTTTTTCTGCTATTGAACTGTTTTCTAATAATGTTGTGTTAAATAAAGTGAAGGAAGGAGAGAAATAACGTTTCCCTAGCAGTTTTTAAAAATTTCCCCATGTAATCCGATTAATCGATTAATCGTGTCGAGACCCCATCCGATTAATCGATTATCCAAATAATCGTTTGTTGCAGCCCTAATATATATATATATATATATATATATATATATATATATATATATATATATATATATATATATACATATATATATATTTATATATATATATATATATATAGTGTTCCAATCACCGTGTCTCGTTATCGGCGTTATTTAAACCAATGATGTAAAATGACTTCTGCCCAGCCCAGATGTGCTCACTTGTGCACCCGTGAGCCGTGGTTCCGCTGGAACTCGTCTGACCTCTGACAGACGCACTCTGAACTTCAGATCTTCAGCGTGCTGTTAATAGCCTGACACTCTGAAGCTCGACGCATTGTTTTTAGGAAGCTAGGGCACATGCGGAGGACACACACACACACGCACGCGCGCACAATATACTTGTTTTCAATTGCATTTATTGGGCCCACTTACTTTTTCTTAGGCCCACCCACAAATGAGTTTCTGGCTACGCTAATGGTGACATATGACAGACTTCTCTGAGCTCCGCAGCCATTACACTTTTCACCTCGCGCACCCCCTAGGGAATCCCTGGTATAAACCAAAGAGCAGAAAAAACATTGTGTAGGGAACCAAATATGGCCAGCTAGGAATTTCTATTTAAGTGAAAACAACAATCAAGCTAAAGCTGGAAAGTCACCAAACTGAGACAGTAAATACACTGATGACTAAGTAGGGAAAACATTGACAAAACAAACATTTAAAGGAGATGAACAACAGAATTTCATTAAAACCCTAAATACTAAAGCTAGAAAAATAAAAAAAAATAAACTTCCAATGATCTAAAGAAGTGGTAGATGACTAGTGTTGTTGGTGGTAGGGGTGTTATGAAAAAACTACGAAATAAACTTTATTCGTTTTTTGTCATTTATTTTTTAATCTCCGCAGAACATTTATAGAGGCATAGAAAATGTTGTTGCCAGCTTGAAATAAATTCTTGCTGCAGTCATCATGAGATACAATAATTACATTCAGTTTTGAGTAATAAAAACAAACAAACAAATAAATAAATGAAAGGGTCTGAATCTCTTATGAGGTTTTACAATTACCCAAACTCCCAGTGCTGGGTAACATCTCCCACCCTCACTGACTGTGTTTACTGCATCCTCAACAAGACACAGCAGTGTGTCATTGTGGATCATCACACACACGCACACACACGCACGCACACACGCACACACACACACACACGCACGCACACACACGCACACACACGCACGCACGCACACACACACACACACACACACACACACTTTCTAAATCTGCTGCTGATTTTTGTTTGGTTTAAAGTGAGAGAATGATGGAGACAGATGGATGTAGTTTGGCAGGACGGGGAAGAAAAGAAGTCAGAGAAAATGACATCAAGTCCCTAAAATATGAAGAAACTCAGAATGAAGTCAATGTTTTTTTAATTAGAGATGATGGATGGATGGATGGATGGATGGTTAGACAACCTGAACTCACAGCTGTTTGGTGGGTGGATGGTTGGGTGGTTGGGTAGATTGTTGGGTTGATGGGTGGAAAGATGGGTGAATGGCTGGGTGGATGGATGATGGATGGATGGATGGTTGGGTGGGTGGGTGGGTGGGTGGATGGGTGGATGATTGAGTGGATGGATGGGTGGTTGGGTAGATTGTTGGGTTGATGGGTGGAAAGATGGGTGAATGGCTGGGTGGATGGATGGATGGATGGATGGTTGGTTGGGTGGGTGGGTGGATGGGTCGATGATTGAGTGGATGGATGGGTGGTTGGGTAGATTGTTGGGTTGATGGGTGGATGGCTGGGTGGATGGCTGGGTGGATGGATGGATGGATGGATGGTTGGTTGGGTGGGTGGGTGGATGGGTCGATGATTGAGTGGATGGATGGGTGGTTGGGTAGATTGTTGGGTTGATGGGTGGATGGCTGGGTGGATGGATGGGTGGTTGATTGGTTGGGTGGATGGATGGATGGATGAGTTGGTTGGGTGGATGGATTTGTGGGTGGATGAATGAATGGTTGGATGGTTAGACAGATGTACAACCTGAACTTAAAAGGGAAATGTTATGCAAAACTTTAATTTTACATTCTTTCGTGCCGACATGAAATCAGTTTCTAAAAATGTAATAAAATTATATATTAAAAAAACTACATTTATTATGTAAAGTTTAACATCCATTATTTTTGAGTTTGCATGTGTTCCTCTGATTCATTCATCTGATCAGACCAACCCTTTCCCTTTTTCTGTGATTTCGCAGTTTAAATTCTCTTTGCTCACACACACACACACACACACACACACACACACACACACACACACACACACACACACACACACTCGGCGGAACAGAGTGGGGATTGGACTGAGGCACAGGAGGAGTCGTTTGTATTCAAATCTAGAGCTAATGCATCAATAAGTCTATTTCATGGGTAAAGTCCCCCAGTGTGAAGGAGACACTGCGGCGCTGCTCCTGCTGCTGCAGGCTCTCATCACCCGAACAGATCAGGAACTTTTCTCTCTTGATTGATTTGTTTAAACAAAAAGCTGCTTCAGTAGCTGTTTAGATCATTTTGGGAGTCCTTTGGGAGACGTGAGGGAGAGTTCAGGGGAAATGTCTGTAAACTGTGTCCTGTATGTTTTGGGGAATAATAGAATTTGACAGGACTGCAATAAGGCCATGACATGTAGATAAAACACAGACAGTTGCAGATGCCGTCTCCTCCTCATCTCTGCGTTTGACACGGAGGCCTGAGGGGTTTGCATCCTCCGCTGTTTGATTTGCACCAAGGGGAAATCTTGTTTGTTCTCCTCAATGCAGCATTTATGGTTTAAGATTCTCCTCACGACCTTCCCCTGCTTCCGAGCAGCGAATTATCCATCTCCCCAGATTGAGGGAGGAGAAAAGAATAAAAATAATCAAAGCAAGAGAAAAGAACCGTGCTGCTGATATCCAGGCCACTGGAACCGGCAGCTCTTTCCATCGTAAACATAAAAACCGGGACACGAGCATCTTACCGCTGTTCTTCACTAAACCTGGTCAATAACAGCATTTAGGGTTTTGTTGAGGCTGTGAGGTCTGAGGGATGGATGCAGCTGTAAGTGTTAGAGCACCACCCTGTGGTCAAACAGCAGCATCTTTAATGCTTTATTCTACCACTTACAATCCATTTTCTCTCTCTCTATCTCTCTCCTCTCCTCTAAACTCTTAATTTCCCAACATTTTTATTTCCCTTTTGGTCCATCTTCCTCCTCTTTTTTTTTGCGGATCCCTCCTCTTGAATTCTTTCCCCAATCCCCTCTCTGCCCGTTTCCCTCCAAAGGTCGCTTTCAGGACGAATCGTGGGGGGAGTGTGGTGGTTCTTCACCCTCATCATCATCTCGTCCTACACAGCCAACCTGGCTGCTTTCCTCACAGTGGAGAGGATGGTGTCCCCCATCGAGAGCGCCGAGGACCTGGCCAAGCAGACCGACATCGCCTACGGCACTCTGGACTCGGGTTCCACCAAAGAGTTCTTCAGGGTGAGTTGGTGTCACTGGGGGAAATGGTCCAGTCCAATAACAGGTAGGGGGACACTTTTAGCTTTGGGTGATGAAATCTTTCTAGAGTTGTTGAAATTTAACTTTTGGAGAATTAACTTGCTAAAACACGATTAACGAAACAAAATGGCCTCACAAAACTTCAAGTGAAACGTGTTTTTAGAAGCCGCAGCTGCTTTAAGCCACAAACACGATGTCTCACTGCTCAGAAATGCAAGCTGCAGATTAAATGTTCAAACCAGTTTTCTGTCAAATCAAACATGAAGCCTTTAGGCCGATCCGTTCTCTTTGTGATTGATCCAATTTTTTCTGTCTCTGATGGCGTTAACTGCAAAAATATTAACGCAGAAGCACATTCTGCTCTCTGTTTCCTCCTCTGGCAGTGCAGAGGAGCTCCTCGTGAACTCCAGCTGCGTAATTGTTTTAGCCTGCTGATCTGAAAGCTTTTGGTTTGATCATTTTATCCTTAAAACAACACATTTCTGTTTTTTTTATTCCACAACATTGTTGAAGTGAATGAAGAAAACTGGTCTTTAAAAAAAATCCAAATGAAGTGAATACAAAAGTCTTTAAGGTCTAAAATCTATACCCAGATGTTGAACCACTGCAGGAATTAGCATGAGCTGCTCTGGTATGTTTTCCACTTTAAGAAGTCTCGTATGTGGATTTATCTTCTCCATCCCTCACATCATCTACCTTTTGAACCTGTAACCCCATCGAATCCCACAGCGGTCCAAGATCGCCGTCTACGAGAAGATGTGGGGGTACATGAAGTCCGCCGAGCCCACCGTCTTCACCAAGACCACGGCTGAAGGGGTGGCACGGGTCCGCAAGTCTAAAGGGAAATACGCTTTCCTGTTGGAGTCCACCATGAACGAGTACACAGAGCAGCGCAAGCCCTGCGACACGATGAAAGTCGGAGGCAACTTGGACTCCAAAGGCTACGGAGTCGCTACACCAAAGGGTTCACAGTTAAGGTGGGTGGAATAGTGTAACAATATGTTCTACGTGTTGTTATGGTATTCCACCTTCCCTGGTGTGCCGCCTTTCTATCTCTGTCTCCACCTACGTGGGCGGGTGGGGCGTAGACATCTGTATTTGTCTGCATGCATGAGCTTTATTGTGATGATGCAGGGGTGGTTTTTATTTGGTTTTCTTTTCTCTTCCAGCTCTTCACACCAGGTAAAATGCTTGTGCTTGTTGTTTGGGCAGAGACGTTGGAATGGGCATGCTGGGAGCTGTTTTACCTCACTCATCTGAAAATCTCTTTATTCTGCATTTTATATACAAAATGGCATTTAGTCACAGGTGGTGGTACTTCAGCATTATTCACCGTTGGCAGTTTTTCTGTAACTCTTACCCCAAAATTCCACTACCTCCGCTCCGCCCCCGTTTTCTGCTGCCGCTCGCTTCCGAACTCAATTTTTACTGGTACCCGCTCTACAACGGCTCCGCTCCGGTGCGGAGACCTGAGGGGGGCAAACAGGCATGCGCGGGATTTTCGAGATCTTGCGATACAGTCCGAGCAATAAACGCGGAAGTTAGATCCAAACACCCGTTGTGTGGGAGAAGCATCGGCATGAACTGTTTAATCTGCCCATCATTTGGGTTGAGAGATCAGCAGTGTTTGGATCAACACAGGGTGACTACTTTGATAGTGGAAACTGTATTTATGGCTTACTTTTGTGCATTTAAACTTCAGCCGCCATTGATAGTTGTTAAAAGTTGTTAAACCTGTGCATATGAAACAAAAAACGCCTTTTGTTTATCGATTTATTGTGAAATAACGGAAGTTGTGCTTGCTCCTTTTCCTGTTGGGCGGTTGTGATTTCTGTCCATTGACTGCAGAGGTGCTCCGGCGTCCGGCGAAAATAGGATCGATCCTATTTTTGCCGGATGGCGAAACGGCGGGCGGCGCACTGCGTCGCACGGCCGCCGCAGTAGTGGAACAGCTCTGATTGACTACAACGGGACCGTTTTTGCTGCGGAGTTCGTGCCGGAGCGGAGATAGTGGAATTTTGGGGTTAGTTGAGTCAACGGAGCCGTTTGAATGCTCGGGCCTTGGTGGCTGTCACTCTCGTGCACACTGAGGAATTTACAGACCTGTGGAGAAGTGCATGTTAAATCTGCTCTCGTCAATCAAACCCTGTCAGCTGACTGCGTGAACTCACCAAGGATAGAAAACGGTTCTGCTTTGTGATTGTTACACATGAGTTTAATCCTCAGAACATCGGAGAATCTGCTGAATATTCGGACTAATCTGGAGCATCGATGCTGGTAACTTTCAACAAGAAAGTTTAGTTTTTAGTCAAATCCTTTCTAAGTGCATGTATTTACACCCTAAAGCAGTTAACTGGTGACCATCCGGCTTGCTGGACCTTTCCACCCAGCCCCCAACCCTTTGGGCCCCAACGTCCCCAATTGGGGGCAAAATTCATGTCTCAAATATCAATAATTGTTTACATTCTCCAAACACAATCAAAACAGTTGACATGGAAAACAAAGCCATTTGAAATATTAATAAATGAAGATACAATAATATTTGGACGTTATATTAGAATAGCAACTGGCATTCACGGTATCTGCTGGAACAAACCTCGACAAATTTAGCTGAATCTGGTGATTCGATATATATAATCGTACGGGGGAGACGATATACGATATATCGTGATACAAAAAGCCAGACTGGATTTAATAGGAAAACTCAGGTCAGATGCTTCCAAGACGCATCCAGTCATATCGTGAGATCTCGTTCCATCAGAATGAAAGTTGTAAACTTCTGCCAACTATCAGTCGAAGTTTGAATAAAGTAAATGTTTGCATACAAATTCTCTATAAAAATGGATATGCTGCATTTAAATACAGGTCTTCCTAAAAAAATAGCATATTGTGATAAAGTTCATTATTGTCTGTAATGTACTGATAAACATTAGACTTTCAAATATATTAGATTCATTACACACCGCTGAAGTAGCTCAAGTCTTTTGTTGTTTCTAATATTGATGATTTTGGCGTACAGCTCATGAAAACCCAACATTCCTATCTCAAAAAATTAGCATATCATGAAAAGGTTCTCTAAACGAGCTATTAACCTAATCATCTGAATCAACTAATGAACTCTAAACACCTGCAAACGATTCTGGAGGCTTTTAAAAACTCCCAGCCTGGTTCATTACTCAAAACCACAATCATGGGTAAGACTGCCGACCTGACTGCTGTCCAGAAGGCCATCATTGACACCCTCAAGCAAGAGGGCAAGACACAGAAAGGCATTTCTGAACGAATAGGCTGTTCCCAGAGTGCTGTAGAAGAAGAAGAAGAAGGTATAATTTCTATAGCACCTCTAAAGATAAAAATCACGAGGCGCTTCACAAAATCAACAAATGTAAAAATATAAAAAAGCATTTAGAAAATGTTTAAAAATATGTTTTAAATGAGCAAAAATAGGCTATTGTGGTAAAAAAAATGTTAAGAAAGAGAGAGAGTGAACAGGAAAGAGGGAAATCTGTATCAAGGCTTCTCAGTGGGAAACCTGTGGGAAGGAACAAGTGTGACAGAAAACGCTGCACAACCAGAAGAGGTGACCGGACCCTGAGGAAGATTGTGGAGAAGGCCCAATTCCATACCTTGGGCAGTGGACTGAGTCTGGAGTAGACACATCCAGAGCCACCGTGTACAGGCGTGTGCAGGAAATGGGCTACAGGTGCCGCATTCCCCAGGTCAAGCCACTTTTGAACCAGAAACAGCGGCAGAAGCGCCTGACCTGGGCTACAGAGAAGCAGCACTGGACTGTTGCTCAGTGGTCCAAAGTACTTTTTTCAGACGAAAGCTAATTTTGCACGTCATTCAGAAATCAAGGTGCCAGAGTCTGGAGGAAGACTGGGCAGAGGGAAACGCCAACATGCCTGAAGTCCAGTGTCAAGTACCCACAGTCAGTGATGGTCTGGGGTGCCATGTCAGCTGCTGGTGTTGGTCCACTGTGTTTTATCAAGGGCAGGGTCCATGCAGCTAGCTATCAGGAGATGTTGGAGCACTTCATGCTTCCATCTGCTGAAAAGCTTAATGGAGATGAAGATTTCACTTTTCAGCACGACCTGGCACCTGCTCACAGTGCCAACACCACTGGTGAATGGTTTACTGACCATGGTATTACTGTTGTAGCGAAGATGTTCCTACATTTAATTAGAAACCATAAAATGTGAAATGTCACGAAGTTTGAAATATCACCTTAATGGATCTTTGAGTAAATTTAATCAGAAGATCGGACATTTTTATTGCAGGGATTGAGCAACACTTCATATTAACTTCAAGAAAAGAGAGAGAGTCAAGTTTTAAAAGTTTAAAGATTTATTACTAAACAAATTAAAACTAGACTAACTTTAACACTAGGTGTATGGTGTAACTTCTGAGAACCAGCAGATACGGAGAAATTATTAGTTTAAGGGAGAGAAGACGATGTTTTGCGCTAAGCTTTTGGTTTGGAGATTTATGACACACATTGAGACGCCATTCTGCCGGCCTACGTACCCTTTGCAGAAGTCCCCATCAGATCAGGAATGTCGAGGTCCAGCTTGACCTTCTCTGGAGCCGAAGCTGGTAGGAAAAGCAGCGGTTGCAGACCACACCAGTCTTGAGATACTTCTGGGTCACGACAGTTTATTGGCATCTAGCAAGACCCAAAAACAGGTCGATGGTTCAGCTTTTATTCTGAAAGGAACCGTAGCAGCAGGTGGAACAGCAACAGATTTTATCCAGCTTGTCGTCAGGTTCTTTCGGCTGAAGAGGAAAGTTACGGATTGGCCACTCCGACAACTTCTCTAGAAAGCTTTGAACTCAAGTTAAAGATGACGTGGGCATAGTTTTATAATTTGGATGTTTTGATTTACGGTCGAATCAAAAAGGGACAGATTTACCAAGCACCACCAAAACCACGCCTCGCATCAGACCTGGAAGGTTCTGAAAGGATCAGTAAAAGCAATGTGTCATGTGACTTCTTACATTACGTGTGATCAGTCTCCAGTGCAAACATTTAAAGTCATATTACTTATTATATTCTATAGGATTATAATATCAAGTAATTAATATTTTCATTTCACAGATTGGTTCACATTTTATTATTGGCTAACACTTTGTTTGATTAGCTTTATTAAAAATAGAGTTCTTCTGATTTATTAAAAGAAAGAGTTCTTTGTCTTCATTCTTCTCTTGAGCTGGAAGGGAAATAGTTTTAGAAGCAAACGCATGACCTTGAGCAATATCTCATTCAGATTAGTTCTGTGTTAGACGTCTGAGGAGAGAGGGTAAATAACCTTCGGTGGAATAGCTCCGTCTTCACGTTGCACTGGGCTCAATTCAACTGGCCTGCCAACTCTCCTGACCTGAACCCCGTAGAGAACCTGTGGGATATTGTGAAGAGGAAGTTGAGAGACGCAAGACCCAACACTCTGGATGAGCTTAAGGCCGCTATCGAAGCATCCTGGGCCTCCATAACACCTCAGCAGTGCCACAGGCTGATCGCCTCCATGCCACGCCGCATTGAAGCAGTCATTTCTGCAAAAGGATTCCCGACCAAGCATTGAGTGCATAACTGAACATAATTATTTGAAGGGTGACTTTTTTTGTATTTAAAACACTTTTCTTTTATTGGTCGGATGAAATATGCTAATTTTTTGAGATAGGAGTTTTGGGTTTTCATGAGCTGTACGCCAAATCATCAGTATTAGAAACAATAAAAGGCTTGAACTACTTCAGTTGTGTGTAATGAATCTAATATATATGAAAGTCTAATGTTTATCAGTGTATTACAGACAATAATGAACTTTATCACAATATGCTAATTTTTTCAGATGGACCTGTATTGATTCAGTATCATAACAAAAAATACTGCTATATTTCAGTGTATCGATAGTTTTTTTTACTTCCCTACCAAAGTAGTTACTTCAGATACATCACGGCTCATCGTTCTGTCCTATCAAGC